GTTTTATGAAAAAAAAAAGTCATTAAGGGACCTCTCTGACACATGAAAATCTTTAAACGCCGATGATAAAATTCTGCTGAATACAGAAAGTTGGCAGTGGTGCATAAGTCGAGATAAAAACGCTGCAAAGTAAGTTTGCAGACACCGACATATCAAACATCAAACGTAAACAATGGATCAGATGACGGGGGTTTGTCGTTAAATCGAAAAGCAAACCACCGAACATTTCGTGGGCAGAAATTCTATGAAAACTACAAAGAAAGCAAAATTGTGTGTTTTTCTTATGAAAAAAAAAATCATCAAATTCCTCACAACCTCGCCTCCTTTTAAGAAAAAGAGTTATAATACTATCAAATAGGTAGTTACAATCGAGATTATCAGTGCAACATGTCTTTCCTCTACCAACAATAAAGTTAATGCTTTTTGTTTAAAATATAGTTACTTCAACTGTCGTTAATAAAAAGTATGATCGATTCAGTGCTAACTTTAAAAGAAAAGCAGAACAAAAACCTTTAGAAACAAGTTGACTCCTGTCAATAAAATCTTACTCAATATTAAATAAAAAATAGAGCTATTTCGTTAACTTTTTATTCGTCACAAATAAAGCCTAATAGCACGCAGTTCATGTGCTAACAAATTACGGTCGCAAACCTAAAACGTCTAGCATGATAAGATCTTACAAAATGCTACATGTTATGGGAAAAAAGTGGGCCGACCAACAATACTGACATGCTTTACGTCTAGTTAACGAAGAGTAAATAAACTCTTTTCAGAATGTTGAAATAGTTAGGACTCTAGCGTAATGAACGTTATCATCAGTTTGGGCATTGTGATGTAGAAGAGAAATCCATGCAACCCAGCACGAAACAGTGCCGGCGATAATTATCATTACTATAAATCATTAAATTCAGAAGAAACTGACACCCAAACACAAAACAATCTCTTCGCATGGTAAACTCAAAGATTTGCATATATCATTTCCAACAAAAAATTACACAGAACTTAACGAATCTTGGACTAGTGTTGCCGGCTTACTCCAGCTCTTAGCCCCAGATTGGCTTGCATTTTTCTTTTCATTGCCTGTCAACATCGTGAATTTTTCTCTGCTTCTTTAATGAAAGAGGTTCGTTCCATGACATATTACCCTGACAATAAAAATTGCAGTTTTTTCGTTCGCTGTATTGCCTCTGTGTCATCGCAATCTATTTTGTAAGTATGACGCAGTTAAAAGGTCCAACCTTTCATGATAATTTGACGTCTTTATATGCCGACAATAACGAAACAAAGGACTTTCGTACAAACAAAAGTATGATGGACAAATAAGAAGCCTTTTGTAAACTGCATTAGACAGTTTCTATATCAATTACGAATGAGGAAAAAGCAATTAAAGGAATATTTAAAGCAACTGTTGATTTAAAAATCGCTCAAAACAAAGGTCTGAAACGTAAAAAATCGTGACAATAATAAAAGTTCCTTCTATACAAATAGAAAGCGCTCGCCGGAGATGGAAGAAAGCGTTTCACCTGAGAATTGATGAGGTAGGTAACTAAACCATAGCTGGAAAAGTAAGCCAGATGCCTTTCACGGTTTTCTCCTTACAAACTACAAAAAAGCTGCAGTAGCATCGAGGACTCCGATGTAGGGACGAACTTTTTTAGCAACTTTGAGGGTAACAAAAGCGAACTATCAATATAAGTAACAGTTGTCAAAACGTTTGGAATTTTAAGCTTTTGGGGCTGAAGTTGCATACTGCAATTTGTATGAAAATTCAATCATCAAAAAAGGAAGACACGTTTTAGGCAACAATTTTGTGTTGCACTCAAAAGAACCTCTCCAAAACTTTCTTTCTGCACTTGCAGCCTTGTCTAGAGAATAAGAAAACATTTTCATCTTCAAACCGCCGCTTGATTTTCAAGGGTGTATCCTTTGTACGGCTCTCTACAACTTCTAAGGCTCATCATATTTTCTCGTGCGCCTTTTCTTATCAATAACACAACAATAGAAAGAGCCTCTGGCGACACCTGGTTAAAGAGGTTCTTTTTCACAGCACAAAAGAAACAACTGTCCAAATAATCGCACAATATCACAGGATATTTTTACTCTACTTTGTGCAGTTGGATTATAAACTCGCGATATCATGAAAAAAGTAAAAGTAAAATTACATTAAAATTGACCTTCCATATAAAGAGACCCATGAAACTCACTATAAAACAAAATACTGAAACGACAACAATAACCAGCACTTTCGATATTCCGACTCTCTCGATGTCACGAACGTTTCCAGCTGCCGACCTTTCAAATATCAGAGATTTTTTCTTAAGTGATGCCTATCCGTGAAATAAAGCTCATCACTGTTGGGAGCTCTTTTCTGAAATCATTTGAAAACATGTTTCACATGTGCGACTGTAAAACGGTTAACCTGAAGGAATGACAGCCGACAAAATTGGCTTCATGAATAAACTGTATAGACTTGGATATTCAAACCTGAGGCAACTTCAGTCGGTATATATCACTTTCCCGTAAACTTGTGAATTTAATATTGACGAGAAAAAGTAAACAGTTGCGTTTCTACGATTGTGTCTGATTCAAGGGTACAATAATCGTAAATGACAGCATTACAAAACTTTGGACACATCACTTCCTAAGTCTAATACTATAATTTTTGGGAGACCGTCTGGAACAACCACAAGAGAAAACTAACAAAACAAACCTTCCCGCGTAGAAGCATCGCAGCTAAAAAAATAAACAATTTCTGGATATGCTATACGACAAATTGATCTAAGCTCTGGGAGTCTGAAAGAGCTTAAGGCAATCGAACAAGTGAAAAACATTTAAGTCGCCATTAGTATGTCAATGGGGGCCGGTAACAAAGCCAAATTATCATTCGTTCTAGACAAAATAGGCAGGTGTCTGTTTCCGTGAGGCGTCTGATGTTACTTACCACCTTCGCGGGTGCCCTTCGGGAAAAATTTGTACGCGCGCTAGTTTCACTTAAATCGTAGCAAACTATATATCAGAAGAAAGGTTAATAACTGCAGTTTACGATAAAAATATAATTTAAGCGAGTGTTTTTAGGAAGTAACAGGAGCCCGTAAGGCGTGAAACGGCCGTGGATTCTTCCATTGAATTTATCGGGTATCGGATGCCGCAGCACAAGAAAAATGGCTGCACAGTCTCATTCACATTCTGGAGTAGATAAAAATATGCGAGGCGTGTTTGGACGCCACGGACAAATATTTCAAATATCAAAATTTCCCTAAAAAAATTTCGTTTTTCTTTATTCCTGGAATGTTTTAGCGAAATTTGACGAAAATCGGTCACATCTATATACCCTTTAAATTCGCTTACGGTGAATGTATTCGTCCAAAGTCAAATGCGAGAGTTAAGCTCATAAGGACCCATAAGGTTCGTCTCGCGTCACGCCAACAGATTATCACGCCTCCTGAAACCGCAAACCAATGGGAAAACGGGACCTCCTGGCGTCAATGTAGCCAATTGCAGACACGTTTTCCCTTAATCTCGATCGTTCAGTGGAGGGTTGAGAAGGACGACACAATAATAGGCAAAGTTGCCAAAGGCAAAGGAAAACCCCCCGGCAAAATGGAAAAAACGGAAAATATGCTGAGAAGCAAGACAACGAATCGACAGTCAAAATTACGGTTTGAGGCGATTGTTGATGATTTTGTATCATGGCTGGTACTTGTAAAAATGAAAGGAAATCTCCTTTTTAACTTTATGTATAACAATTTTTGGTTTGACGGCGACTCCTTTGTTCGAAATCTGAACGCTAGCATGGAGCTCCGTTTTTTTTTTTTAACGAGTACTTTCCTCCGCTTTTGATTCTCCCATGAGCAAAGATTTTTCCCTAAGCAAAGAGCTTCCACGAGTGAATTTTACCGAGAGCGCGATGTAAACAAAATATGCAAATAACATGAAAAACGAGGCCCAAAATGAGCGGTTGCCGCGAAAATTCCGCCAAGGAATTCGCCTCTGTACGAGACTATGACACCTTCCTGATATAGTAACTTTTGTTTGAAAATAAGTTTTTCTAAATAACTCGGGTGCTTTTAAAGATCTCAGAATTTTTTTATGGAGACGTTAGGTAAAATGTTTGAATTCACTCTAATCAAATAAAAGAAAAAACGATTTTTCGGCCTCTGAAAGTGGGAATTAACATTAAACAAAAGGGGAGGGGAGAAGGCTGGGCCGAGAAGGCTGGCCGAGAAGGCTGGGCCGAGAAGGCTGGCCGAGAAGGCTGGCCGAGGGTTTAACACTTCTAGTCTGTGCTAAAGATTATATTTGTTTATCTTAACCACGCCTATCGAACTACTGAATCAGACATTTCCGAAAAGCGCCAAGCAGAACGATATACTATCAAAAGTTCGGTTAAAAAAATATTCTCTAATTCCGAAACAAAAAAGTTCCCTCACTTCAATTTCTTGTTTCTTGCCTCTATC